ACTCAGCCAGGCAGGGAGGTGTCAACCCCACAGGGGCACTCACCAATCTTCTCCAGCACTGTTTTCATCAGCCCATCTCTCTCCTTCTGCTTCTCAAAGAGCAGCTCAGTCCGGGCTTTCCAGAGCATGTACTCATCGGCTTTCACCATGAGTCCCAGGGAGCTGCGTCTCCGGGCAGCTCGCGGTGGCCCTGGTGCCGCCTCCGGCATGTGCATGCCCAGGTAGCGGGGCAGGAGGTGCAGGCACACCTGGGCACAGTGTCACCCGTGGGGACCTGACCACCCCACCACCACCCAGTGGGTGTGACTGAGTCCCCTTGCATCACCTGGAGCATCCCTGTGGGGTACCCCTGTGCCACCGGGATGCTGGGTGTGTTGGCACCCGCTGCTCCGTAGTCCTCAGTAGTGACTTGGAGGGGATTGGTGGCACATTGGTCCCTTGGGGACATCTGGGGAGTCCCTCTTTGTGCCAGGACTTGCACTCAGATTAAGGCATGCCCGCCACCCTGCTCTGCAAGGGACATGGCCTCGGTCCCCGAATACGCACCCTATTCCCCGTGTGTAGGGGGTAGGGGGACAACAGTGGGTACCTGGCGCACTCTCTGGGACATGGAGTGAGTGTTGGGTGTTCTCAGAGAGATGTTGAGGACAATGACAGCGTTCACCACGATCACCACTGTCACCACCATGAGGAAGGTCAGGTACCTGGGGAGGGGGCACAGGGCATCACATGAGGCTGCTGAGCCACAAGCTATGGGCACGTAAGGTCCCTCTTGGTCCCCTCCTGGGCTGGAAATGGGACCAGCAGTGGGATACGGGCACATGGTAGCCCTTTGCTTCCTTTGCTGCCTGGGCTAGGGGTTATTTATGGGCCAGGGTCCTGTCCATGGGCACTGGCTGGTGCGCGGCACCCAGAGAACCTGCTGGCACAGTGTGACAGCAGAGCTGGCACCCGATTGCCGTGCATCACTTACTTCCCGATGAGAGGCACAGCCTGGGAGGTCTCAGGCACCTTCTGGGCAATGAGGAAGAGGAAGACGGTTTGGGCCAGGAGGACATTGATGGAGACAGTGCATTTCTGCCCACCCGCTGCCAAGGACAGAGGAAAGACAGAGGTTGGCACGGAGCAGTTGTGTGGGCATTGCTCTCCTTTGGCAAAAAGCCCCCACCACAAAACTGAACTGGCCAAGTCCTGCCCTGAAGCTTGAACCATGGGGTACCTGGAAATTCACACTCTGCCCCCCCAGATATCACAGGAGTGGGCGAGAGATGGCACTGATGGTCCCCAAGCACAGAGGGGACCATGAGCCCCTCCTCACCTGTCGCTGCCCCCCTTGCACATCCCCATGCCCCCTGTGGGCACGGCACCAGTGTGTACCTTTGGCAGGCAAAAAGTAGACCAGCACAGCCATGGCGGAGATGAGGACACAGGGCACGATGATGTTGATGATGTAGAAGAGCGGCTTGCGCTGGATGATGAGGTAGAAGATGACCTGCTGGTACTGGATGTCATCTGGGGTGAAGTGTTCCGAATTGATGATCTTCCGAGCAGGGCGGTGCTTGATGGCCCATTCACCGTTCTCTGCCATGTGGTGGTGTCATGTGAGCCCTTCCACCCGCCAGGGGCACTGGGGCTGCCAACCCCCTGGTCCAGGCCATGGAGCAAGGGTAAGGGCTGGTGATCACTGTGGGCTCTGCAGGGCACCCAGGCTGGGCACAGGGTGGGAAGGTGCTAGAGCCACTGGGGAGGGAGATGGGCACCATGGAGCATGCCAGGTTGCCGGGACAAAATGCTCCAAAAAGCTGTTGGAGCGGACAGCCAGGCACATATGAGACACCTCGAACCCTCCCACTCTCAGGGTGAGTTACGTGTGGGGCTGGGGTCCCCCATCTGCCCCAGGGTACCGTGGGGGGAAGCCGAGCGTGACGCTGGATGACAGTGCGCTGCTTTCCCCTGCTGTCTGCGGGAGCGATAGATTTTTCCCAATCAAGATCGCAGCTCGGGCCGGTAATGAAAAAATAAATCTCGCTGCCCGAAAAGCATTTTGTTCCTTCAATATGCAATTAAAATGTGATGGAAAACGTCATCGTTTGGCCGTGACAGCTACGTTCCCAGCATCAATCAAGCTCCCAGGAGCGGTGCTCTCTGGGAGCGGCTGCCAGGCGGTGAGAGCCCCGAGCCGGGGGGGTTGGAAAAACAAATCTCTCCCACACTTCTGCTTCCACTAATAACTTAAGTGCCCATGTAATGGCGGGAGCTTCTAATAGCCCCTGCAGCCCTGCTTTTGGCAGCCAGCAGTGTAGCTCCAGGCCTTTTGGGTGCCCCTGTGGTGGGACACCTTTGTGCCTCGAGGGTGGCCGTGATGTTACCTGTGAAAGCCTCAGGGTCGATGGAGATCCACTCCACGGTCTGACCTTCCTCCACTGTCAGCAGCAGGTTGATCTCGTTGGCACTGTAGGTCTGGGACCTGGGGAGGGACAGGTAGGTGGCACAGGCTGGCACGCACCAGGTCACACCGGCCACCTCCAGCCCTGCTTTGGGGTGCTTGGCTTGGCCAAGGTGCCTCCCGTGTCCCAGCAGGACTGGCCGATGGCCCTAGCTGTGGTGCCCACGTGTGCCCAGCCGGTGCTCACTGGAAGACCATGGTGCAGTTCTGCCAGTCGAAGGGGAAATAGGTGACGTGGATGGCGCAGGCGCTGCGGTGGAGGGGGCCAGCCAGTAGATGCTGCCGTCGGGGGACACCAGCACATTGGTGTAGAGGGTGATTTCGAATGTCCCGTCAATGCTGGAGGGGAAAGGGTGGGCTCAGTCCCAAACTGTGCCTGGGGGACAGCTGCCACACCCTGTATGAGGACACATCCCCATTGGCCCGTCATCTACTTGTTCTCCAGGACGATGTCAGGCAGCCACACCATGGTGGAGGGCACCCGCAGCAGCTGGATGTTGTCATATTTGTCAGGGTCCCACTGCAGGCGATAATCGGACCATTGCTGGGGGAAGGAGAGCAAAGAGGAGGGGTCATCGGGGGAGCTTGTGAGCTCCCAAAATGGGAGCACCCACAAAAGGAGGTGCAGGTTATGGTGCCAGCCCTCCACAGGGTGCCACCCTGAGATGCAAATGTGGCTGAGGGGCATCCTGCCTGCAGGTGAGAGGTCTCACCATCTCGATCCAGACGTTGGTGGTGAGGGTCTCCTCCCGCTCATTCTGGCAAGGAAGGAAAGGGGGAGATGGCTTTAGCGCCCTGCCTGCCTCTGCCTGCTGCCCCATGGGTGGGAGCAAATCCTGTCCCGCTATGGGGACTGGGGAGGGTCTCTCACCAGGGAGATGAGGTTGGTGAGGGTGAGCTTGAGGGTGACATCAATGATCTGGTCCCCGTGTAGGGCCGGGCGCAGGTCCCGGTTGTAGTTGGTCATGAGATCCTGGAGCAGCTTCTCCTCCTGGTTCCTGCAGCTCACACCTGGGAAGGGCACACACCATGGGGACACCCTGGGCTGGGGATGGTGGGGTCTGGCCACTGATGCCCCCAGGACCTTCCAGAGATGGGGGGCAGACAAAGGGTGTGCAGAGAGAGGAGACGCCCATGCGTGTGTTACCGTAGGTGTCCACACGCAGCTGTGCGTGCCCGATGATGCGTGTCAGTGCCCCAGCGTGCGAGGGGCGTGCGTCCCCTCTGCATCCCCCACCCTGCTCACCCCAGGGTCCTCTCCAGGGCAGGACATGGGGACAGCGGGCTGCCAGCATGGGGACACCCCGGCAGGATGGTGCACAGCGCTGTACACCCATGGGTGACAGACCCCCACGGGCAAAGGCAGGAGGTGACCAGGTGCCCCCCTCCCCCCAGCCTCCCCCCGGGGCAGGCACCCCTTACCTGCCAGGGTGCAGAGGGTGAGGAGGAGCAGGCTGTGGCAGCGCATGGCAGCGGCGCAGGGGCTGGGGCTCCGCTTGG